TGAGATGTTGAATAGAAGGATCAGGAGCAACCAAGCAAGCAAGTCTGGCTGGGCAACTCGACCCATAAATGGGGACGGAAACGAAGACTGCGTGGAACAAAGACGACACCCTGTGTAAAACCCGCAGAGCACCCCTCTCAGGATCAGCAACCCATCCTGGAAGCCCAAAGGTACGGGGCCGAAGTCCCGCTGACCCTTGCCCAAGACGGGCTTCTCATCTCGGGCCGGTCTTTTACAACCCCCTGGGGCCCGGCAAGGGCCCCCAGAGGCCGAAAACGCCGACAACACCCTCGTCCTGACGAATTGTCACGACGCGAGCATGTCTGGCATAAGGAGCCCAACTCTGGAAACCCTGGGCCTCGCGTGTTCGGGGCGACCATTACACGTGTTCGGGGGGACCCTCGCCGAAGATACGCGGAGCATTGCCACCAGAAGGTACAGCGGAGGTTGGGGGGTGAGATCGCAGTGGAACAGAGTCCCCCAACCGAGAAATCGTTTCGTTTCGTTTCGTTCGTGTCGTGCGTGCGGGCGAGGCGAAGCTGCGTGGGCGCGCGAGAGGGATGAACCCGCCGTTGCTAGGGCGAAGTCAAAACAAATGATTCTCCCCCGCCCGCCCGTCCGGCGGTGGCTCTCGGTGTCCCGCGGTGTCCCGTGGTGTCCCGTGTCGTCCCGTGGTGTCCGCTGTTGCTAGGGCGAAGTCAAGACAATTGATTCTCCGCCGCCCGCCCTTCCGTCCGTCCGTCCGGCGGTGGCTAGCGGTGTCTCGCGGTGTCCCGCGGTGTCCCGTGGTGTCCCAGTGAGTGAGATCGATAGTTAGATCGATAGTGAGATCGATACTGAGATTGATGTGGTGCCCCGAGGTGTCCCGTGGTGTCCCGTGGGGTCCCAAAAAGTCAGATCGACAGTGAGATCGATAGTGAGATCGATAGTGAGATCAATACTGAGATCGATGTGGTGCCCCTAGGTGTCCCGTGGTACCCCGTGGTGTCCCAAAAAGTGAGACCGATGATGAGATCGATAGTGGGATCGACAGGTGTCCCGTGGTGTACCGTGGTGCCCCGTGGTGTCCCAAAATGTGAGATCGATAATGAGATCGATAGTGAGATCGATAATGAGATCGATGTGGTGTCCCGAGGTGTCCCGTGGTGTCTTGTGGTGTCCCAAATAGTCAGATCGATAGTGAGATCGATAGTGAGATCGGTACTGAGATCGATGTGGTGCCCCGAGGTGTCCGGTGGTGCCCCGTGGTGTCCAAAAAAGTGAGATCGATAATGAGATCGATAGTAGGATCAACAGGTGTCCCGTGGTGTACCGTGGTGTCCCGATGTGTCCCTCAAAGTCAGATCGATAGTGAGATCGATACTGAGATTGATGTGGTACCCCGAGGTGTCTGGTGGTGCCCCGTGGTGTCCCAAAAAAGAGATCGATGATGAGATCGATAGTGGGATCGGCAGGTGTCCCGTGGTGTACCGTGGTGCTCCGTGGTGTCCCCAAAATGTGAGATCGATAATGAGATCGATAGTGAGATCAATAATGAGATCGATGTGGTGTCCCGAGGTGTCCCGTGGTGTCTTGTGGTGTCCTGTGGTGTCCTACGGTGTCCCGTTGAGTGAGACCGATAGTGAGATCGACAATGAGACCGATAGTAAGATCGAGAGGTGTCCGGCGGTGTCCCGTGGTGTCCCGCTGAATGAGATCGATCATGAGATCGATAGTGAGATGGACACATGTCCCGTGGTGCCCCGTGGTGTCCCGTGGAGTGCGATCGATCATGAGATCGAGAGTGAGATCGATGTGGTGTCCGGCGGTGTCCCGTGGTGTCCCGTTGAGTGAGATCGATAGTGAGATCGATAGTAAGATCGATGGTGAGATCGACAGGTGTCCCGTGGTGTCCCGTGGTGTCCCGTAGTGGCCCGTGGTGTCCCGTGGTGTCCCGTTGAATGATATCGATAGTGACATCGATAATGAAATCGTCAAGTGTCCCGTGGTGTCCCGTGGTGTCCCGTTGAGCGAGATCGATAGTGAGATCGATTGAATCAGATGTTGGTTCCCCCCCTCTCCCCCCCCACCCACGACCTCCTCATCACCCGAAGGGTGGTCGTACAGGTATTTCCCCAACCATCCTGTGGTGTTGGGTCCTCGTTTTGAAGAGACAGCGCCCGGCGTCCCACCTTCCTTCCTCTCCCCCTCCTCCCTCCTCCCCCTCCTCCCTCCTCCTCCTCCTTGCCTCTGCTCTTGGCACACCTCTCACACGTTTCGTAGCCCCATAGGGAGCTCCACCGAAGGCCCCAGTGGCTGCTCTCGCATGCGGTTTCCCCAACCCAGGGCAGCGCTTCGTGGCGCCACAGGGAGCTCCACCGAAGGCCCCAGTGGCTGCTCTCGCATGCGGTTCCCCCACCCAGGGCAGCGCTTCGTGGCCCCATAGGGAGCTCCACCGAAGGCCCCAGTGGCTGCTCTCGCATGCGGTTCCCCCACCCATGGCAGCGCTTTCGTGGCCTCATAGGGAGCTCCACCGAAGGCCCTAGTGGGTGCTCTCGCATGCGGTTCCGACACCCAGGGCAGCGTCTCGTGGCCCTATAGGGAACTCCACCGAAGGCCCCAGTGGCTTCTCTCGCATGCGGTTCCCCCACCCAGGGCAGCGCTTCGTGGCCCCATAGGGAGCTCCACCGAAGGCCCCAGTGGCTTCTCTCGCACGCGGTTCCCCCACCCAGGGCAGCGCTTCGTGGCCCCATAGGGAGCTCCACCGAAGGCCTCAGTGGCTGCTCTCGCATGCGGTTCCCCCACCCAGGGCAGCGTTTCGTGGCCCCATAGGGAGCTCCACCGAAGGCCCCAGTGGCGCAGTTCGCCTGCGGTTCCCCCACCCAGGGCAGCGCTTCGTGGCCCCATAGGGAGCTCCACCGAAGGCCCCAATGGCTGCTCTCGCACGCGGTTCCGACACCCATGGCAGCGTTTCGTGGCCTCATGGGGAGCTCCACCGAAGGCCCTAGTGGGTTCTCTCGCATGCGGTTCCCATACCCAGGGCAGCGTTTCGTGGCCTCATGGGGAGCTCCACCGAAGGCCCCAGTGGATGCTCTCGCATGCGGTTCCCATACCCAGGGCAGCGTTCCGTTGCCCCATAGGGAGCTCCGCCGAAGGCCTCAGTGGCTGCTTTCGCACGCGGTTTCCCCACCCAGGGCAGCGCTTCGTGGCCCCACAGGGAGCTCCACCGAAGGCCCCAGTGGCTGCTCTCGCATGCGGTTCCCCCACCCATGGCAGCGTTTCGTGGCCCCATAGGGAGCTCCACCGAAGGCCTCAGTGGCTGCTCTCGCATGCGGTTCCCCCGCCCAGGGCAGCGTGCGCTTCGTGGCCCCATAGGGAGCTCCACCGAAGGCTCCAGTGGCTGCTCTCGCATCCGGTCCCCCTTCCCAGGGCAGCGTTTCGGGGTCACATAAGGCGCTCCACCGAAGGCCCCAGTGGCTGCTCTCGCATGCGGTTCCCCCACCCAGGGCAGCGCTTCGTGGCCCCATAGGGAGCTCCACCGAAGGCCCCAAAGGCGCAGTTCGCATGCGGTTCCCCACCCAGGGCAGCGCTTCGTGACCCCATAGGGAGTTCCACCGAAGGCCCCAAAGGCGCAGTTTCGCATGCGGTTCCCCCACCCAGGGCAGCGTTTCGTGGCCCCATAGGGAGCTCCACCGAAGGCCTCAGTGGCTGCTCTCGCATGCGGTTCCCCCACCCAGGGCAGCGTTTCGTGACCCCATAGGGAGCTCCACCGAAGGTCCCAGTGGCGCAGTTCGCATGCGGTTCCCCCACCCAGGGCAGCGCTTCGTGGCCCCATAGGGAGCTCCACCGAAGGCCCCAGTGGCGCAGTTCGCATGCGGTTCCCCTTCCCAGGGCAGCGTTTCGTGGCCCATAGGGAGCTCCACCGAAGGCCCGCCCCAGTGGCGCAATTCGCATGCGGTTCCCCCACCCAAGGCAGCGTTCCGTGGCCCCATAGGGAGCCCCACCGAAAGCGGCACCCACAACGCGTTACGAACAATTGCTTATGGTTGGGTCCTTCGCCAAGAGAATGTTATTCCTGCCGCCTGGGCTACCCGCCCTGATCGTCGCTCCTGGTCCAAAGGGGGGTTAAGCTGGCACGAGTTTTGAGAGCAGCTCACGCCAGACCCCTTCGAGTCATGAACAAATCACCACTGACGGTTGTTCACCTTCTCGGCCTCAGAGGGCCCTTGCTGGGCCTCGGGACCGTCAACAAACGACTCAAGATGAAGCACCGGTCCCGGAGAATTGGTCGAGACCTTTGTTGAGCAGGGACCGACCGTCCCGGCATTCCTATAGGCCTGCGACGAAGTGGTCTTAGAACCCAACAACGTTCTAAGAAGAAAAGCAATGCTCTTAGCACATAAACCCGATGTGCTGAAACGAGACAGTCCCTGCCAGAAATGCTCTGAGAACATCTCGTGGAAGCCACAAAACGTTACTAGAACACTGTTTGGTAGGCCTATCGGCGAGCTGGGACGCTTCGCCACCGCTTGACTTTGGGGGTCGACGTTGCGAACAAATCGTGATGTCGTGGGTCTGGGACAGCGGGTCTTACGCGAGATGCCATACTGCAGGTTCGTGTCGTGTCGACCCCGGCGCTGGTTCCCGACACCGCGCTGGATCGTTCAACCTTGAACGATCGGCCGTCTCCGCAACGTCCGATCGTTCAACATCGACCGATTCTGGGCCGCCGTCGGCGTTCAAAGCTGAACGTCGGCGGCGGGGTTGCCGCCGGTCGACACGACACGAACCTGCCGTAGCGACCCCACGCGGTCGCTCACGAGCGCGGCCAGCGCAGCGACCCCTCATTGGATGCGCCAGGGCGCCGACGCGCGACCTCATACGCGGGCAGCCCGCGACCCGCTGTCGGCGCCGACGACCCCGCTCTCTTGGCGCGAGGGGGCGAGGAAACGAGGACTAAGACGACGCCAGGACGAGGATCCATTCGGGTGGGGACAGGTCGAGAATCTCTGAGATCCAGCGGAGGCTGTATCGGACGTCGCGGCCTTCTCGGAGCACTCCAGAACGCTCCGGAGAACAGCGAGGAGGAGGACGACGACGGGGTCGGGAGCAGCAGCAGCAAGCCGGCTGCGTTCACTGCCGACAGGCACGCCTGTTAGAAGCTCGGGCAAACATTCATAAAAATCATGCCCCGCAGCGCTCTGGGCTGCTCTCGTATCCGCCACTGCGCCGCCAGGCACGAAGCGGCGTGTCGATTCTCATCGAGATCTCTGCGTTGAGCACTGCACTGTGAATAATCTGCGTTTGTTCGCAATCGCGCGGGAGGCACAGTCGAAGCCCACAGGAACGTGGGTCAAGAGCGGAGCCCCCTTGCCGAAGGCCCAACCAAGGCCCCACACGGAGATACCTGAGTCGAAGAGCATTCCGAGGTGGAGAGCCCACACACGTAGAACACAAGGGTTGGAGGCGGCCAAGGAGTTTGAACTGGCAGGGGCCCCAGAAAATCAGTCAAAAGAGGGGATGAAACTAAATCCGCTCAAAATCGGTCCCTGGACCCCTCCCGGATATGCTTCTAACGGTCCACGGGCCCGAAAACTGCCCCCGGAGGCCGACATCTTATACAAAAGCAAACCAAAAACGCTCCGAAACGGGAGCCTTGAACCTTCCCCTTCCTGCTGGCCGGAACCGGTGCTGGGCCACCACGCACCCCAAGGGTGCCCCTCCACAGCCAGGAGTGTTCGTGCCCGCTGTACACCCCGCCAGACGGGGTCCCACTTCGCCTTGGCGGCGCGCACGAGGGGTAGGGGGAGGGGTGAAGGCTGCTTAGGAGGCTGCATCTTCAAGGCGCCGACCCTACATCTACAGACAAGGCCCGCGCCTTCTAAGAAGCATGGGCACTTCTCAGCGGAGCCTTCCCGCCTCCCCCTGCCCCCTCTGCGCGTGGTCGAGCTGGAGCTGCTCTCACCCCTCGTGCCAGCCCCAGACGCCCGATGCCATCCTTTTGTGTCATAACGTCGACCCCTACAGGTCTCGACCCCCTCTCCGGGGCAGAGTGTCATGCCGAGTCGTTTGTGGACGGGCCGGAGACCCGGCAAAGGGCACTCAGAGGTCCAAAGCTGGGAAGAACCGGCAGTGGTGATCTGTGTATGACTGGGAGGGGTCCGGGTCTGCGCGTGGCCGAGCTGGAGCTGTTCTCAAGCCTCGTGGGCGACGATCGGGGCGGGTAGCCCAGGGGGGAGCCATATACGCATAAGAATAGTATATACGGGTATACGTATATATATATATATATAAAAATATAATATAGAAATATCATGGATGTATGTGTGTATGTGTATCCACTGGCCCCGATGGTCCGCATCTTCGGCGAGGCTCCCCCGCGAATACGTGTAATGATCGCTCCCTCCGACCAGACGGTTGAGCAGGGACCGACCGTCCCGGCATTCCTACAGGGCCTATCACGGCATATTCTTCGAGCCCCAAACAGTTCCGAGAACAAGAACCGCGCTCTTGGAACGTGCACCTGATGTGCCAAAACAAGGCCGTCTCGGCCAGACGGGCTCGGAGAACATGTCGTGCGGGCCACAGCAGGCTCTCACCTGGGCAAGCCAGGACGCTCCGCCACCGCGTGAGACCAGGTCCCCCTGCGCCGCCTCGGCGCACAGCGCCAGGAGAGGCGGGGGGGGGGTCCGTCCTGCCCTCGGCACGCCGTGGCCGTTGGCGTCAGGTCGGGCCATGCCTTCCTACAGGCGGATTGTGGAGGGGGGGGGGGAACCACATATAAAACATACAAAAAGATATGAAGAATCGCCCCCAGACGCTCTATCTTCTTTACAACCATTTCTAGCGGTTCCTCCTGCAGAGCCCGACTTAACGTTGGCGGCGGGGGCCCGGCTCAGGGCCGTCGGCGGCGGGCGGGGCCGCCCGGCCGATTACGTGCCCCGTTTTGTGCTCGCTTTTTTGCGGCGGCGCGCCAGGGGGAGGGGGATGGCACCCAGACGTGCTCACGTCGCGGGAGAGGCAGGACGGGAGGTTCTTGGCCGTCTGGGGCCTCTGGGGGCCCTCGACTGGCCCCGGGAGCGTCAAGGAAAAGAACCTGGATAAACAACTGGCGCCGGGGAAAGGGTCGGGATTTCTGGGGGACCGCGCATTGAAAAAAAACAAGGCGCCACATGTCTGGGAACAAGTCTGTCCGTGCGTGCGTTCTGTGTACCTTTTTTTCGGCGGCGCGCAAGGGGGGAAGTGAGAGGGGACAGGCCTTCTCAGAAGGCGCCCGGGCTGCTCAAAGGCCCCTGGCCTTCCGAGAAGCTTCCTGCGTCTTCAGGAGAAGGCTTCGACAAATTCCCAGAAGTCCCGAGGCCCCCCGAGCCAGCTGAGAAGGCCCGCCCCCTCCCACTTCCCCCAGGCTCGCCGCCGATAGCCAGAGTTGTCCGCTGTTGCGCTGTGCGCGCCTTCCCCCGCTCTGCCTTCCCTGCTGCCCCTGCTGCTGCCCCCGCTGCACGGCGTGACCCGAACGAGAAAGGCCCACGGCCGCGCCCAAACGCCGCTCGGCTCGCGCCCCGCCACCCGGCGCGTGCCGAGACACGCTTCGCGCTGCCAGCAGCGGCGGGGGGGCGCCCACGCGCTCGGGACGCCGACGGGCCGCGCCGGGCGGAGGGCGCACGGGTGGAGCAGGACGGCCGAGGAGGAGGGGGAGCCCGGGGCCGAGGAGGAGCAGGACGGCCGAGGAGGAGGAGGAGGAGGAGGAGGAGGAGGCCGAGGAGGCAGAGGGGAGCCAGGGGGAGGCCCCGGGCGCAGGGAGGCTTCGCCCCGAGGAGTGCGCGGGCGGCCGCCTGCCAGCGAACGCGCAGAGCTGCAGCGGCGCGCCCTTCGACGGGCCCGGGCCCCCGGGTCCTGGGCAGGCCTGGGCGCTCGGGCGCTTCCCCGCGCGCTCTGGGGGATCCCCGCGTGGCCTGCTCAGATGAACGCTACAGAAGTAAGCCTAACCCAAAGGGGACCCGGGCCAGGCGAGCCAAGCACACTAGAGACAGGGCGCCCTTCTCTGCAGAGGGATCAGACCAAACCGCCCAGATATATGATCCCTAACGCGAAGACGGGGACCTAAGCGAGGCCACGTCTTTCATCTTGTTATCAGGGCCAGTTTGGGTGACCCAAAAGGGGGTCCAGCTGAAAGGAGGTGGTGCAATGGATTTGGGGCAAATGTATTGCAAAGGTATTGCGCCAGAGAATTGTATTGCACTGTATTGCAAGTAATGCAGTGAACGCGAAAATCCAGCAATACATCTGCGCCCTGGAATGTATTGCACGCCACAACTATCTTGCAACCCACCAATCTATTGCGCCAATCTATTGCACCATCCCCTTGTCGCTGAACCCCCTTTTGGGTCAACCCGAGTTAGGGGTTCTTTTTTCCTCGAGGATGTTCAGAGGTCTCGGGAGCGCGGTCTGGGTGCCGCACTTCCAGCATGGCCCGAGGATCGTCCTGGGCGCCTCCTTGGGCCGTCCTGGGGCCCTGGGGGGCTGGCCCGAGAGGCCACGATCATCTCGGGACTCCTCTGACCCGGGTCAGTCCAGACCCGGGCCAGTCAGGCCTTGCAGAACCCTGCAAGGTCCTGCACCCAAACCGGGGTCAACGCGAAGGATCCTGCAAGATCCTGCAGGATCCTGCACCCGGAACCGGGTCCATGCGACCCTGGCCCTGCGGGATCCTGCAAGATCGGGCGCTCTGGCTGACCCCCGCTTGCATTGACCCCCGTCTCAAGGCTCCCGATCATCACGCAGAAGCATACAGCCGGCCCGTGCAAGAAGGACGCACGATGAGGATGCAAGGGCCTTGGACGGCCATGTCGACGCTCTTCAGGCGGGGCCCAGCCAGCGACAGCGGCCAAGGAAAGGCTGGAGGGGGAAGGGCAACCTTGGAAAGCTGCTCATCCTCACTAAGCGGGTTGACTGCAAATTGTTGTGAGACTCCAGCTCTGCCTGCTTTCGGTCAAGAGGCGCCCAAGAGTCGGCCACAAAACGGCCCCCGAGACCCCCTAAGCGGGCGCCAAAGGCACCCAATACGGCCACATAAGAGGCCCAAGAGGGGGAACCCGAGCTCAAATTTCGAGGGCACCTTCCGAGTTGGACCCCGAGACCACAAGAAGGTTACCAAGATGCTTCCAGAAGGCTCTCAGACGCCCACAAAGAGGTCCCCAAGAGGCCACCTAGAGACCGCCAGTAGACCCAAGAGACCCCTACGTAAGGCCGCAAGACGCCATCTTGTCTACGACCCAGGCATGGTAGCGGGATGGGCCGAAGGCCATGCACTAGATACGATTCAAATGCATGCAATTCCCCGCCAGAACTCTTTACGCACCACAGCACGGATCAATGACGGTCAGAAGCGCCACATGCAGCAGCAGAAGCGAATATGCTCACGCGAGCCGCTTCGGCTGTAACACGCCCAAGTAGTCCGCCTCCCGGCAGGACTACTTCGACCCTGGAGAACTCCGTTCCCACCATGCCTGCAAGACGGCCGGCCATCAATTGGGAATACAAGTCCGTCAGGTCGTCAGACGGCGACGCCGAGACCTGGCAGAGCTTCTCTCCGCCTCACCAGGGGCGGGGAGAAGGAGACGGATGAGGATGAGGATGAGATCGACGAGACGGCAAGGTTCTTCCTACCTTGGCACCTTCTCTTGCATCTCTCCCTCTCTCTCTCTCTTTCTCACTCGTGTTTTGTCTCTCTCTCTCTCTCGCTCGCTCTCTCTCTCTCTCTCTCTCGCTCTCGCTCTCTATCTCTCGCTCGCTCTCTCTCTCTCTCTCTGCCGCGCAGCCAAGACAAGTCTGGTGTGGTGTCACGGTGGACACCGAGGTCACCAGGCATCCCGAGCAGGGTTAGGTCGAGCATGTCCCCCTACAGGGTGATTTGGGAGAAAACTTCAAAATACAAAACAAAAAACATGCCCACAAAGAGCCTAAGAATGCTCAAAGCATCGTATCTATGTTACTTTTGATAATTTTCTAATATTCCTCCGGGAGAGGGACAGGCCCGACCAAAGCGCAGGGCCTCACCCACGTGCACCACCGCGGCATTTCGAGGGTGGCGATTCTCCAGGGCGATCAGGGGTCCGCGCGGCGTGGCGGCTTCCTGGGGCCGCGGTGGGGGGGCCGAACTCCACGCGCGCAGGTCTGATGGGCATGTTTTCCACCACCACCACCATAAGTTGGAGAGGGAGGGGGTCCTCCTCCTCCTCCTCCTCCTCGTCCTCCTCCTCCTCCTCCTCCTCGTCATCGTCCTCCTCCTCCTCCTTCCCCCCTCCAACTTCATGTTGGTGCTGAAAAACAAGCCCATCACAGGTCAGTACTGGGGGGGGGGCGGCTGCGGGCCCGCAACAGAGGTCACTCCAGCGAAGGGTCACCCTCGCGCGTAGCCGAGGACGAGGGGGAAGGACGACCGGGCGGAGGAAAAAGAGGATCGAAAACGGAAGGGGGGCGAATAGAGAGAGAGAGAGGGGAGAGACAGCTGAAGGCGGCCCGGAATCTGAGCGGGTTGGAGCCACGCAAAATCAGCCAGGAGGGGAAATAAAGGAACATCCGCTCAAAATCGGCCACGGGCCCGTTCCTCGGGTCCACCTGGTGGAGTTTGTCACTCCAGATCCGTTTCTGACGGTCCCAGCCCGAAAACGGCGATCGGAGGGCGAACCAACAACAAAAACAACTTCCCGAAACTAGAACCTCGAAGCTGCCCCCCCCCTTCCTGCTGACCGAAGCCGGTGCTGGGCCCTCAGACCCCCAGCCAGCTCCAAGATCGAAGACGGAAGAGGGGCGAGGAAAGAGAGAGAGAGAGAGAAGGGGAAGAGAGAGAATGAGAGAGGGAGGGGATGGAGGGAGAGATAGAGAGAGAGACCGAGAAAAACATTAAGAGAGAGAGAGAGAGATTAGGAAGAGGAGAGGGATAGCTATGTTTTTTTAGCGAACGTCACATGTGAGAGACAGAGAGAGAGGGAGAAATAACAGCAAAGAAATGAACAAAATTCAGAAAGAGGAACAAAAAGGCGGCCCAGACATGACCTGCGCGATGACCCGCCGTGCCGGCGCCGCGCGACAGACGCAGCGCGTGCGCCGAGGACACGCCCGCGCCCGCTGGGGCAGAAGCACGCCCGCGGGGCACGGAGCGAGGACGACCCCCCGACACAACGCGCGGCACGGATCGCAGAGGGCCCCAGAGCGCGCGGCGCGAACGGACGGGAACGGAGACACGGCGCCCTCGATTCGGACGCCGCGGGCACGGCGAGACGGGGGCCCGGGTGACCTTGGCGCTGCGGCGCTCTTCGCAGCGGGCGCCCCTCGCCCGGGGCTCGCTCCAGGGGGGGGGGCCCTCCCGGTCTGCGTGCCGGCCCCGGTGTGACCGGAGCGGTCCCCTCTGTAGAGGGCAGACCGTGCGCCGAGCACGTCGGAAACCGCCGTAAGAGATCCTCTGGCGTGCAAGCAGCGAGCAGTCCTCCGGCAGGCGCTCGGTCGGGGAAGCCCTGCCGGCGCGAGGACGACCCCCCGACACAACGCGGGCCCGAGCGCCAAGGGCCCGACAGCGCGCGGCGCGCACGGAAGGGAACGGAGACATAGCGCCCTTGGGGCGCCGCGGGCACGGCGAGACAGGGGCCGGGTGATTGGAGGGGCCCTGGGACACACAAGTGGATAGACACAGATATCAGCTGTTCTGGGTGTTTGTCTTCCACCCACTTCCCATAGTGTCCATTTTTTGGGGAATCGACGGTGAAGTGTGTCTGAGTGCTGTCTTTCGCTCCTGAGTGATCTTGGCGCTGCGGTGCTATTCGCAACGGGCGTCCTTCGCCTGGGGTTTGCTCCGGGGGATCTGGGGCCCTCCCGGAGCGATGCGGCGCTCGAAGATGGGCGCAGAGTTGGGGTCTGGGGTTCTGGTGGTGGCTGCTGTTCGATGAGGCTTGTTTTTGCACGGCAGATCAGCGCAGGAGGAGGAGGAGCAGGAAGGAGGAGGAGGGGGAGGAGGAGAAGGAGGGGGGAGGAGGAGAGGAGAGGGGAGCAGGAGGGAGGAGGGAGGAGGAGGAGGAGGAGGAGGAGGAGGAGGGAAGGAGGAGGGAAGGAGGAGGAGGAGGAGGAGGAGGAGGAGGAGGAGGAGAAGGAGGAGGAGGAGGATCGGTCTCCAGCGCATGGAGCAATCCAAGGCGGAGGCTTCTCGCCGTTCTCGGCCTCGCGGGGCCCCGGGCCCCGAGGGCACGCGGCCCCGACAGGTGGCGCCATCCAGACCCGACCCCCACCGACCATTGAGTCTCCTGCATCGCTGGGGGGGGCGGGGGTGGGGTTCGGATGTCGCCAAGTTCGGGGAGGCGTAATGATGGGCCTGTTTTCCACCACCACCACCAGAAGTTGGGGGGGAAAGGGGGTCCTTCCTCCTCCTCCTCCACCTCCTCCTCCTCCTCCTCCTCTTCGGCCTCCTCCTCCTCGTCGTCATCCTGCTTCCCCCCTCCAACTTATGGTGGTGGTGGTGGTGGTGGAAAACAGGCCCATCACGCATGACTCGAATACGGGGGACTCGGGTTGGCCTGACGGGGCCTTCATAAAATGACGGGGCCAAATCTTAAATCTGACGCGACCTCCCGCTGCAAGCATCCCACGAAAACTGGACCGTCAAAATCCGGGGTGCGCTCGTCAAAAAAGTTGTCAAACCCGAGTTCCGGCTTACTCGAGTCTCATGTTTCCCTGGCAAGTGTTCGACGAATCCCGAGCCCTGCCCCGCCGCCCATCGAGCTGCCTGAATCGCTGGTCGGCGCGGGGTAGGCTTCGGAGTCATCGCCGACGGTGACCCCTTGGCGTGGCGGCGCCTGAACTGGACGTGCCCCCCCCGCGCGGTAACCCATGCGCCTGGTGGTCGGCGAGGCGGTGCGAGCCAGGCGGCGCGGCCGTGAGAAGCCGGTGGATGTTTGGAGCGACGCGCCCTGGGACGATTCGGGGGCGTCCAAGAGGGGGGCGTCCAAGAGGGGGCGTCCCAGGGCATGGCCCCAGGCACGTGCGGGGACGAGGGAGGGGGCGGGGCCACCGGACGCATTGAAATGAGAAGAGGGGGCCATGACATCTGGGGAGATAGCACCTTTCCTCTGAAGGGAATGGGGCGCACATGAACGGAGCGAAGCGTGTCCCGGCCGTGTGGCCGATAAGCGATGCACAGTTGTTTGGGCAGTGGGTCGATGCACCCGTAAGCGATGCACCGATAAGGCACATTGTGCTCCGCCAGTAGATGTCGACCCGAGCCAGCAACGGGGGCGGAGGAGGAGGAGCAGCAGGGCCAAGGAGCGGGAGGGCCCTCATCCTTATCCTCCTCCTCCTCCTCCTCCTCCTCCTCCTCCTCCTCCTCCTTCTCCTTCTCCTCCTCCCCCTCCTCCTCCTCCTCCTCCTCCTCCTCCTCCTCCTCCTCCTCGTCATCATCATCATCATCATGATCATCATCAGCAGCAGCAGCAGCAGTATCATCATCATCACCACCACCATCACCACCACCACCATCATCATCAGCATCATCAGCATCATCATCATCAGAAGCAGCAGCCGTATCATCATCATCATCCTCATCATCATCATCATCATCATCATCATCATCATCATGATCATCATCATCATCATCATCATCATCGTCATCATCATCATCATCATCATGATCATCATCATCATCATCGTCATCATCATCATAATCATCATCGTCATCATCATCATCAGCATCACCAGCATCATCATCATCAGCATCAGCATCATGTTTCTCCTCTTCCTCCTCCTCTTCGTTACCCTCCTCCTTCGCTTCCTCCTCCTCTCCTCCTCCTCCTCCCCATCCTCCCCATCCCACTCCTCCTCCTCCTTCCCTCCTCCACCTCCTCCTCCTCCTCCTGGTCCTTCTCCTCCTCCTCCTCCTCCTCCTCCTCCTGCTCCTTCTCCTTCTCCTACTCCTTCCAATCCTTTCTTCTCTCTCTCTATCTAACTTTCCACCTCCTCCTCCTCCTCCTCCTCCTTCTCGTCCTCCTCGTCGCCCTCCTCCTCCTCTCCTCCTTCTCCTCCTCCTCCTCCTTCTCCTCCTCTCCACTTCCACCTCTTTCCACTCCAGGTCCTCCTCTTCCTCCTTCTCCTCCTCCAACTGCAGGTCTCGCGGCCCCGCCTAGCGTCGTGAAGCATATCGAAGAGCCGTCGAAGGCCGCCTGCCAGAACAGGAGGGATGGAGGTAAAGCAGGAGGAGGGAGAGAGGACGGAGGAGAAAAGAGGGAGGAGAGAGCGAGAGAGGAGAGAGGAGGGAATCATGGAGAAGGGAGGTAGGATGGAAGAAAGAGGGAGGAGTAGAGGAAGGAGGAGGGGAGGAGGTGCCCAGAGGACTCCGAAGTCCCCAGAGGTCTCCGCAGGCCCTCTGGACGCCGCCGGAGGCCCGCGGAGGCCCACGGAGAGCCAAGCCCATGCAGAAGACATCCAAGATCCTCGAAGAGGGCCACGCATCTTGGGGAAATCATGAAGCACCGATACCGCTACTCCCCGAAGGAGGGTTTCTCCGAAGGGCTTAGGCGACCAGTCCTCCTCCTCCAGCTCCTCCTCCTCCTCCTCCTCCTCCTCCTCCTCCTCCTCCTCTTCCTCCTCCTCCTCCCCCTCCTCCTCCTCCTCTCCTCCTCCTCCTCCTCCCTCCTCCTCCTCCTCCTCCTCCTCCTCCATCTCCTCCTCCCCCCCCTCCCCCTCCTCTATCCCCTCCTCCTCCCTCCCTCCTCCTCCTCCTCCTCCTCCCCTCCTCCTCCTCCTCTTCCTCCTCCTCCTCCTCCTCACCCTCCTCCTCCTCCTCCTCCTCCTCCTCCTCCTCCTCCACCTCCTCCTCCTCCTCCTCCTCCTCCTCCTCCTCCTCCTCCTCCTCCTCCTCCTCCTCCTCCTCCTCCTCCTCCTCCTCCCCCTCCTCCTCCCCCTCCTCCTCCTCCTCCTCCTCCTCCTCCCACCCTCCCTCCTCCTCCTCCTCCTCCTCCTCCTCCTCCTCCTCCCCTCCTCCTCCTCCTCCTCCTCCTCCTCCTCACTCCTCACTCCTCCTCCTCCTCCTCCTCCTCCTCCTCCTCCTCCTCCTCCTCCTCCTCCTCCTCCTCCTCCTTCCTCCTCCTGTCTCCTCCTCCTCGTCCTCCTCCTCCTCCTCCTCGTCCTCCTCCTCCTCCTCCTCTCCTGCCTTCCCCTCCTCTTCCACCCACCTCCTCCTCCTCCTCCTCCTCCTCCTCTCTCCTTCTCCTGCTCCTCCTCCTCCTCCTCCTCCACCTCCTCCTCCTCCTCCTGCTCCTTCTCCTCCTCCTCCTCCTCCTCCTCCTCCTCCTCCTCCTCCTCCTCCTCTTCCTGCTCCTCCTCCTCCCGTCGGTTGATGCGAAGTTTTTCTGGGGAAAGGATGCCACGACCAGTTGTGACAAAGCGGCGTACGTACACAATATGCTTGCCTGCTACGCCAGAAGGAAGAGGCTGTCGGCCATAACTGTGTTCTATGACATCCGCAAGTTCTACGAGAATGTCAGTCATCAGCAGCTAAGAGAAGCAGCAGAGCACTACAACTTCGACGGCGCCTTGCTGAAGGCGCTCTGCTGCCTGTATCGAGCGCCACGCCGTGCGCGCTGGACAGGAGGCACGAGCAGAGTCAGTCATCCGAATGGAACTATCGTGGCTGGCTGCAGTGCGGCAACGGGAGTGGCGAAACTGATGACCTTGTGCCTCCTCAAGCGCCTGGCTGAGGAGACGCCTCCGTGTCGTGCGTTGAATGTGGTGGACGATTTGACGACGCATACCATCGGAGGCCCAAGGACGGTTGTTGAGAACACGGTCAAGAGTTTCGAGATTGTCACCTCGGAGCTGGACTCGAGGAAGTTGCCAATTAATTGGGACAAGACTAGATTCATGATGTCCGATCACTCCCAGCTGCCTGCGTTGGTACAGGATCCCAGGTGGAGGCTATCGGACGACAAGCTGGTCATCGCCCACCGCGACCTCGGCGGCGACTCGCTGGACGGCAGGGCGAGGCGAGTCGGCACGCAGGCGTCGAGAATTGAGGCCGCCCGCAGCACTGCAGTTGCCCTACGACAGCTGGGGCAGAGTGAAAAGCATAGTAGAGTTTATCGTGTGGGCGCGCTGGCTAAAGCTTCTTGGGGATCCCACATCTTGGGGATCCCGCCGACCACCCTCCATAAGCTTAGGGTCCAAGCTGCGAGATCCTGGGGCCCTCTTCTTCCTGGCACTTCCCTGGGCTTCAGGTTTCTTTCGGCCGCTCGCCTCTGGCTCAGGGACCCGCTTTTGGTGACGGTGACGTCGGCTGTAAAGGAATTCGTCAGCGTTTGGTGGGCCCGCTCGATTTCTAAACCAGTGTTGGAAGCTTGTGTCCAGGACGCCCTGGCGGTCCAGGGGAGTAGGGCCCCCTGGGGCCAAGTCCGCCAGCCTGTTGCTGCGCTTTTCCTGCAGCTTGCTCGGATCCGCTGGAGTTTCGATGTGTCTCGATTAGCCCTGGTTGACGACCTCAACCGTGCGTGGTCAATTGATCGGTTTTCGCCAAAGTTTTTCACCCTTCTCCTGCGAGGCTCGGTCGTTCGGGCCATTGAGCGGGAGGAGCAGTTGAAACAATTTGATTTCGGGATGTGGAGCGGCCCAATGTTCTGGCAGCCCATTCATCAGCTTCTAGGGCGGAAATGTTCGGAGTCGTGGACGAAGTCGCACAAGGCAGCTCTTTCAGCTCTGTGTGCGAATGTGTACTGGTGCCAGCACAGAGTGTGCGAGCATAGTCCAGAGGCCCCTGACCAATGCCAGCTGTGCAGAGATGGTAGAGGCACGTTGTACCATCGCAGGTTTCAGTGCGTTGCCTTCGCTCCCTGGCGGCGCGAGAACCTGGATCCCGTGGTTGCTAAGGCGGCTCGTGCGGTTGGCCATCTCCCCACTCCTGCTGGGGAACTTTTTAGCAGATGTCTTTTCCCCAACCCTGCGGCCTGGGTGGAGCGACCCCCCCGCGACCCGCAGGACCCGTGCACCAGGCACTTTCAGTGGCCTCAGGACGGCCCCTTGTTTATTCCTGAGGGGGCTCATGTGTTCACGGACGGGTCGGGCTTTGAAGGGGAGCTCACAGGACTCGGGACCGCGGGTTGGGCTGTTGTGGTGCTGGACAGGCAGGGCAGGACCCTCGCTGCCCTGTTTGGTGTCGTGCCGATCGGGGAAGCGCCTGGGCAACAGGCACGCGACGGCGAGGATTTCGCTGTGCTGATGCTCTCCCGCCGTTCGGTCCTCTCATCAGGTGTCTCGCTTCATGTGGACTGTGCGGCCACGGTCGGTTGCCTTCGAAACCTCGCGGGGGCAGCTGGTGCGTCGTCGGCCCGAGCCCACTGGTGGGCTGAGATTGGGGACCGTTTGGAGGGCTTGGCTGTGCATCAGATCCCGTCTCACTCGTCGATGGTTGATGTTAGGGAAGGCCGTATCACTGAAATGCAGCGTTTCGGGAACTCGGAGGCGGACAGACTCGCCAAGGAAGGAGCTGAGCCATTCCGAATTTCGATTGAGGACCGCCATTTTGTGACTGGATATGCAGAGCTTGTCCGACGTGTCGGGCTGTACAGTGCCAGGCAGCAGGCTGAGTGTAGGGATTTGGCCCTGAACGATCATCAAGGGTTGGAATGGCTCGGCTACGTCCTCCTGGATGCGGTCCCTGGCTTCCCCCTTCCTGGTTCGGACCCTGGGGGTGGTGAGCCAAGTGCGCCTAACGGTGTGCCTCAGGTTGCGCCTGGTGCGGGGGAAGCCCCTGGCGAGGCCCCTGGTGCGGTTTCTGGTGAGCCGCCTCCCGAGAACCCCCCGACCCCAGGAGCATGGCTCCAGCTGGGGCACTCCCTTGAGCAGGGGGTGGTATATGAGTCGGATGGCTGCACGTATCACGATACGATGCTGTGTTGCACGGCTTGTGGTGCAATGGCACATTCCAGCACGAAACGGGGGAATCTTCGGTTGAGGTGTCGTCCTGTCACGTCTGGGGGACGGGGGTTTTACCTTGACCGATTTCGTGCTGGAAGATATCCTGCCCATAGGAATCCTAAAGGGCTCACTATGGCGTACACGGGTGCCCCCTCTCTTGAGGTTCGCTCGGAGTGGAGGCCCTTCTTTGAGGCCTGGTCCCAGGGCCGCGACCGCCCTCCGAGAATAGCTCGGGGTGCCCAGCCCTCGCGCAGCGAGGGTCCCGCTGCCGACCGTGCGCGAGGCCTCGCCATGCTCGGCCTGACGCGGGCGGAGGTCGTGGAGCTGGGGGCCGAGGTCGAGGCCAGGCGCTGGAGAGGCGTTCTTCCCGAGGAGGAGGAGGATCTCTTCGGCTGCCTAGGCCCCTCCTAACTTGTTTGTTTTTTGTTGCATGCGAATTGGGTCACTCCCTTCGTGGTCGTGGGCGTCCTCCTCCCGTCCCCCTCCCCCTCCTCCTCCTCCTCCTCCTCCTCTTTCTTTCGTGGGTTTAGGGCAGAGACTCGACGCCCCAAGGAAACGATGAGAGAGAGATGGAACAGGATAGAGTGACAATGCCGCGGCAGCGGCTGGGCAGCAGCAGCAACATGTCAGTGAAACGCATGCATCCCCCTGGCTGTTTAAATCCCCAGCTATTTAAAGTCCAGCGTAGACTTGGATTCTAACAACCGCGGTCCTTCCCAGATGAACTGGTACTGTCATATATGTGTGACGTCACATTCTGGGGGGACGGTGCCTTTCAGGCGCATAGTCGATGTGAGAGACCGACTGGCCCTTCACTCCTCGATGAGTTACTGCCACAAGCGGCGCGCGAGCCTGAAAGAAAAAACGACTGGATCCAAGAGAGGTGGAGGGCAGCAAGCAACACGCAGGCACAACCTTTCTGTCCCTCCTATCTCCTAGCGTCTCAAATCCATATGTGAATCGCGCACTCCATACCATGTTGCTGATCGTGTAGGTAGCCATCCAATGGCGTATAATACTTCTGCAGAGCAAGCGGAATACATCCGCCATCCTCGTGTATCATGTGTAGTTCCCGCTGGAGTCGTTTTTCGTCTTCATATGTCCAGTGTGATACTCTGTGCTGTATACATTGATCCTACCAAGCACTGGGGACCTGGGAAGGTGCCTGGGCCCTGGGGCAAGTCTTGACGTTTTGCCTCGCAAGCGATTGCGCAGCACAGGAGGACCGTCCTGCCTAAACAACCACGGATATTTG